AGAAGAACAAAAAAAATATTTGCTTCACATATAAAAAATACTTCGTTTCGACGTATATTGGCCTGCTGAATCCGAATTTGCTATAAAAAAGTGGTTTGACCAACGGATTTTGGAGATAACCTCAAAAAACTGCTGAAAACGACGTTTTTGTACTAGAAGCTTGAAAGAAATGGGAATATGATTCGCGTCACATAAAAAATACCGTATTCCTATGTATCTTAATTTCTTAAACCCGGAAATGTGTTATGAAAAATTTGGTTTAACAAGTGAATTTCAAAAGATCCTCCTCAAGAATATGTAAAAATTGCGTTTTTAACGATAAAATCTTGAATAACGTGGATTGAATCAGTCTAAATCAAGCTAAGTGGAAACTCTTTAGTTATCACATGAACATACTTGCATTTGACTTTCTGGAATTCAGACTACTGAAAAAAACTTGAATTAACAGCAAGCTGAAGACAAATCTAAAAGATTGTTGTATCTCTGAGAGCGGAAATCTGGGAATATTCGAATAGATATTACGTTGAGATCAATGTAGACAAAATTAAGTGTCTGAAAAGGTCTTGAATCTTCAAATGAAAAAATCTCATGCACTTCACGTCTTTGTAGTGTTATCTCGTGTACATTATTTATGTTACTTAGTATCTCCAACATCCGGGTTGGTCAAACCTCTTTTTTCATAGCAAATTCGGATTCAGCAGGCCAATATACGTAGGAACAAAGTGTTTTTGATGTGAAGCAAATATTTTTTTTGTTCTTCTCAAGCTTTTACCACCGAAACACGTCGTTTTCGACAATTTTTGGGGAACCCCATTTTTTATGACAAATTCGATTCAGCAGCACAAAATACATAAGAAAAAGTTAGTCTCCATCCCAGAACCAGATACTTTTTTTGTAGGCATTTTTTTGGTCTTCTCAAGCTTTTACAACCGAATACGTCGTTTTCGACAGTTTTTTGAGGTTATATTCAAAATTACTTGCGGAACCCCAATTTTTATGACGAATTCAGATTCAGGGGCATAAAATACATAAAAAAGAGTTAATCTCCATCCCAGAACCAGACACTTTTTTGTGGGCATTTTTTTGGTCTTCTCAAGCTTTTTACAACCGAAACACGTCGTTTTCGACAGTTTTTTGAGGTTATCTTCAAAATCAGCTGCGGAACCCCTATTTTTTATGATGAATTCGATTCAGCGGCACAAAATACTTAATAAAAAGTTAGTCTCCATCCCAGAACCAGGCACTTTTTTTGCGGGCCTGTGTTATTTGTTACATTAATTTATCTTTAAGTTAGTCTCACTATTTTTTATACAAACCCTGTATAATTTACGTTCTTAACAAAATCAATATCATTCTTATGTCTCTCCTCTTGAGAAAAACCGTGACACAGACGCTCGCATTAATGCCAAAGTACCGAAACAAAATTATCGATCTTGGTGGGACATTAGCAAATCGTACGTAATTGTTCCTGTCAAATGCGGCGCTCGCCGTGGGGAAATATGCGACCAGTGACAGCGCGGTGGGACGCCCTGCCGTGAGCCCATCGTTCATTAGGACAACTCTATTACACGGCTCTGACTCCTCCGCCCCGTCGTCCCCCGCGGGGGCTAACTCTACACAGCAAACTCGGAAAGAGTCCGTGCTTAACGCAAGGTCACGCGTAGCGAGATTGATTGTATTTGGATTAAGACATTACAGCGGATGGACGTGTACGCATTGCCGGGGGAAGAGATGACATTAAGGATATACCGGATTTTGAGGTTCCTTGAGACGGTATTTGGTCTGACTTTTGGATGATATTAATTGAGGAATATTTTGTTACCAAGGCTGGTACGCGTGGTAATCTATTAGTTAGCCATCAGGGACGTGCCACGAGTTGTATAGACGGGGAACAGTGACATCAAAAATCTACCTTATTTAAATTGAAGAGGAATTCACCTTCTTTTCGTGCTTTCTCTGTCCGAAAGGCGTAGGGACAATGCTTCCTGTGCACAAAATTACGAGATGTGTAAATTAAGTAATGAGATTGATTATTTAATTTTTTAGAAACCCATAGCAACTCATATACTGGAATAGCCTTCAGCTGGTCGGTTACAGCCGTTTGAATGTTTTCTAAGGTCCCAAAAACATGTCCCTTGAGGTGATTTTCAATCTTGGGAAGAGAAGAAGTCACAAGGACTAAGTCAGGCAAATGAGAGGCCGAGGAGCCACAGGAATGCTTTTACTGGCTAAAAACTCGTTTACTGAAACGGCTGTGTGACAAGGCGCATTGTCGTGATGCAACATCCAGTTGTTCTTGATATTAGGTCTCACACGCATGACCCTTTTCAAATTGTACAAGAACCTCTCTGTAAAAGTGTTGATTTACTGTTTGGCCTGGAAGCACAAACGCTTTGTGGATAATTCACTGGACTATCAAAAAAAGCAAATCAGCATGCATTTGATCTTCGACTTGCACATTCTGCATTTTGATCTTAGAGAGCTTAAAGTGTGTCATTCCATGCTGTGGCATTTAGTTTTCGGGTCGTACTCAAACACCCACGTCTCATCACCAGTAATGACACGTTCCATAAAATGGAACGATTGCAATCGATTTAAAAAGTCAAGAGACTTTCTCTCCTTGATGTCATTTTATTCCTGCGAAAGGTTTTTTCAAACAAAGAGAAATACTTTTTCTCATCCTCGATTATTCTTGTCGTCAAACGACGATCTGAACGCACAAGAAGAAAAGTCTTAAAAACTGTGGAATTTTGTAAACATAATTTTAATATTTCCCCGTATTTTCCAGTCAAGTTCAGTTCATGCCATTTCCTTTATTTGAAGGACTTCCAGACTCATTGTGACCCTGAAACCGAGTTCATCCTCTCCAAGGGAACACACCGCATCTATAAACCTTTTAATATTTATCTGTTTTTATTTTTGAATTTTATATTATTAAAGACCTATCATTGGCTGATTGTCTAAAGTGTGCTCTATTCTAATCTTACCAAAGGTCTTTTTTTCTTAATAATCGACTGCAAATGGATTTGACGTCAAAACTCATTCAAAGAAAATATCGGCTCACTAAATGAGCCTCACTCATTAAGACTCACAAAATCAATCAAGAATATGATATTTTCAGGTGAAACTTAATAAGATCCACCGTATTCTGAACGAGATTGAGGAGGTTCATGGTAACATATTTTCTCATAGAATGCGATGGTGTATTTGTTTTGCATGAAAATAACAAAAAAAAATCAGCAGCGCCCGAAAACCCCATGTTCTATTTCGTAATTCATTTCTACATCATTCATCTTCTACTTCAGATTTTTCTTCAAATATCCTGCAGACTTTAATAAAATACTTGTCCACAACAGAGCTAACATTGAAATATTTTCTTCAAATGCTGATTTACCGAAGTACCAAAGAAACGGCTTTACCTGAGAACAACAGTCTACCGAGCGCTGGTCCACCTAGTGTTCACATGTATGATTTATTTACCAATAAGTAAATAAAATCATATTATGTATTAAAGTATAATATAAGAAAATATTTCTATATCAGCTCGGATTTTTGGCGACTATTTCAATATAGAAACAGAAGCAGAATCTGAAGTAGAAGTGAAGATGAACGCTTTAAAAGTTGATTAAGAAATAGAACATGCGAGTTGAGCATTATTTTGATTTTTCCGAATTGCATTTTCACGCGAAACAGAGTAGGTATACGGTAACATTCTACAGGAAAAATGCTACCAGGAATTGATTAGATCTCAAGTTGTCCATGTTCCAGGTCAAAAACAGCATTTTTTAAACATCACTAATCAAATTTATTGGTTAACAGTGAATACTTGACAAAATTTCTCTAGGCTTGTCACAAAATATCTTTTTATGTTTACACCAACCAAATATGACACTGGTGTAAATTTTCAATAGAAATATCATTCAATGAGGAATCGAGTCGTGTCCAAGTCTATAAACCTAGAATATGAATATACTAATGCGTTAAAGTGTACAGAATTAATAAAATAACTGCTTTATGTGTCCTGTCATCGCTTAGACCACAACAGAAAGAAAAAGTGCAGACGTCTCCGGTGCATAATCCTCGGCGCAGTTTTGAAAGCCTTCGCAATCCTCTTTCCTTTGAACGCGAACAGCGCGCAGACAACACAATCGACATCGGGCACAATATTAATAGAAGAGAGCGTTTAATTTGGAAACGTTGCTGCACAAAAAAGAAACTTGATACATTGTAAAAGTGTCTGTAGTTATGAATGCTCATTAGTTCTGAACGACGGAGCCACGATCATAAAGTTCGTCGTTTATTATATCTCAGGTGTTTTATCGTCTTCAGCTCGCAACTCATTTCGAAACCCTTTAATGATTGCTAAAATTTGTAGCTCCTCAGAATGACACATGAAATATTATGCCGGTATTTTCTTTTGTGATAATGCGCAAACGCTGGCCTAATCATACGCATCGTATCTGGAAGCCTACGTTTTTTTTCCGGCTGTCAAATTACCAACCTCGTTAACGACTGCGTTCATCGCTAAAACGTAATGATAGAAAATAGTGCTAACTTGCTGACACTAAATGCCGTGGAATATTTTTAACGGCTCTGTGGTATTAAATTTACAGATTTCGGTGCAGGCAGGCCATCTGTTGTTTTATCTACACTTGCGTTAGAAAGTACTGAAGTGGAAAAAGTCGTACTTAAATGATGGATACTTTTGTCATATTTTAGAAGTATTTAAGTGTCCATTGAAGCATGCATTGATGCAATCAATAAATAATTAAATGATTACGAGTTTCACGTGATACTCACGTTCACGGTCAAGGAATATATATTTTAACTACTAACCTCAGAAATCGTCGTCATTTACTCCATTTCTTAACGAGAAGTTATATTTTTCTGTCTAGGTTCTCCTAAATCCACCTTATACTTGGATACCACGAACATACATTTGGTGGAGATTGAAAACCTAGCTCTTCTGAGAAATTCTAATGTCTGTTCACACTAATTTAGCCGCAGCGATAGCTCAATGGATAAAGCGCCAGGTGAGAAAATGGCGATTACCCGAGAGCTATTATCCGCGCGGGTTCGAACCCCCGCCTGTGGCAATTGGTACATGTCACAGGGGTTTGGTTGTGTGTAGTACGTCTTATGTGTATTTTCCTCTGCACAGTTGTAACGACTTGAGAGGGAGAATGTCACTTTCTTGGTGTGATTTATTTTATTATTATTATTATGGGTCTCTTTTACGGATTCTTTAAATTAAACTTATATATCTTTTTCGGCGTAAAATTGCATGCATTTACTTTTGAGAATCCTAAATATATATTTTTCTTCACGAATAGCATTTATTTATGTTCGTAGTAGAATCTGTAGTGTATACTATCTATTATAGTGCCACTTACTACAACAATAGTACTCTAGCACAATTCCTCTAATTCAACTGATAAATAATGAAATGGGTCATTCGTTAGTTTAAAAATGCAGTCGCAATTTAGTGTAGTTGAAAATGATGCGGTATTCTGTATGCGGTATCGACTATTCAGAGTATGCAAGTATGAATGAAAATCAGTATGATTTGTGGATTTTAATTTTATTGATCTTTATTAAGTAACAGCGAGCCTTTGTGAGTGACTATATTTGAACTAATGGGATTATTGGGAATTTGGGACCATGGGATTTTTTATCCCCAAACAACAAATTGTGGTATTCCTAAATAAAGCATATTCTCGAACCACTACTGAGTATCTGAACTATTGTGGAAGGACATGCTGTCCATGTGTAATGAGCGCATAATTCCTTATACATTTACTCATTTACTGCTCTACAGCACGTCATTTATGATACTAATTTTATTGTTTTAGATTGATTATAACACATATTTGAAATCCACTTCTATATTTTTGTGGAATATTTGAGTACGAGCATGAATATAAGGAAAATTGTATAAAACCACTGAAATGAGTGCAATTAATTCCTTTCCGACACATTTTTAGATACTTTGGCAAAATTTTGCTGATCACCTCTCAAACTAGCAATTATTTAATACTGTACTTGTTACGTATCTGATTCAAAGTAAATGTAAATAAAAAGCTATAGATCATAGATACCATTATTGTACACTCGCGTGTATCTTAAATACATGTATTATGATGTATTGTATGTATATCAATCATAAATGATGAAATAATTGCTCTATCGAGACAAAATAACTAGATTACCATAGCAAATTAATAGGCCCAATTCGTGTAGACTCGATAGGTGGGTATAGTTACATAGTGGGCCACACGAAATAGTTACACCAGAGTTAAAACTTTCCGTTTACGAGGTAGTTGTGTTTTGTCGAGTAATTCTCTAATTGATTTTTTGAGAGTCCAGCGGTGTTTAGACAGCCCTATAATGTGAACCGTCTCACGGCTCAGATACACGATCCGATATACTCGAATAATCGATTCGTGTTAACTTTTTTGCCAGTCATCGGACAGCTACATGCCTAGTGAACGTTACAGTCAGTATATGTCAGGCCGGCTCGAGTGCTCCGATGATGACTTAATCTACCCAACCCTTGGTGCGTGTGTAGTTCGTGAATTAATGAAGGTGATCAAGATTGATGGGATTTCGGAGATAAAAAATAAAATATTTTCGGGTATTGCACTAACTGAGTGCTCGTCCGTTTATAACGGACTCTTTTGTTTCTATATTTGGAGATTCCTGACGCGTTCTGTTGCCTACGACGAGTATATCTTCAGTGGATGTATGAGGAAGGCTGGATCATTCCAGGTTTTAGATATGGAGTCCGAGACTTTTTGAATTTCCTGCGCTGTAACTTTAATGGCAACACTGCTCCGTCAACTGCCGTCTATCGGTAGACTAATGTAAAATTTTGAGCAAGTTACGTCATTTACATCACGATCGATCATAAACACAACCGTGTGTCCACTTCAAAGGAGTGTTTGGGGATAGCCACAACGAAGTTGCAGTTGTTACCGTACATGACATGTATCATGTACGGTAACGAAACAGCGCAAAACTCGTTTTGATTGCGGCTAAAATCCATGGATCCATCATGGATTTTAGGATCCATGGATTCATCATGGATGGATCCATGGATCCATCACACCACACCAGAGACGAAGCAACAATCGAAACAGTGCAACAATCGAAACAACAATCTACAGGTGAACGTGCACCGAAGAAGGCTATATAGGTCTGTCAGCCAACAAAGTCATGGCCACAGTTTTCTGGGATTCCTGCGGTGTCATTCATATCAATTACCTTGCAAAGGGTAAAACGATCACCGGCGAATATTATTTACAGCTGGTGGGTAGATTTGACACTATTTTGAAGCAGAAACGCGCATTTAGCGAAGAAGAAAGTGTTGTTTCATCAGGACAATGCACGGGTGCATACGTGGGTAATCACCAAGGCAAAATTCATCAATTGGGCTACGAACTACTACCTCATCTACCATATTCTCCAGATTTAGCCCCTCCGACTATGAAGAAGACGTTTCACAGTTGGCCACCATGGAAGCCATAGTTCAGAAACAGTTCCAGAAAGGATATGAGAAAAACGGAACAAAGCAATTCACAACCACATAGAATTTTATAAAATGAATTTTTCTTAACACTCCTCATTACATCCTCATTAGAATATCAAAATATGCAATTTACAAAAATATGTCAAAATGAGTGAGCCGTAACTGTTACCTGCGCCCATGACGTTTGTTTAAGTCATGTAGGATTAATACACGCATTTGTTAATCGTGTTGCTCTACCCATGCTATTTGCAGTAGTAGCTCGACTTGATTTTATTTGGGAATCTCCAATTTTTTGAGTGGTTATACAGAAACAACATAATATGGAACTTACACTAATTCACCGGTATTTTAATTAAGTCCAACTGGGTAATCTTAGTAAATAAAACCTATACATACTTAATCATATACATACATATACACACATACCCACTGAGATCACGGAACTTCAGAATTGAAATGGTTCAATCTGGTATGGCACTTATGTTGGTTTTCTCTTGATATCTGTGTGATCGCTAAAAATATATCGGGTTGGTTCTGTGCCTTTTTATCTTTCTAATAAAAAAACTGAACAACATAATAGGAACATTAATGTGTCCATCGACAGAAATCAAAACGCTTAAATTCTAAACAATTTATGCATTCAATTGCTGTCAATATTTAAATTCCACGGTCAATGCAGGTTTATAAATATGCAATTTCACTGAATTTAAATAACCAATAATTTTAGTAATCTAAACTTGATGACTAATTCAGACTTAAAAATATAATAATAGATCTACGAAAAAAAAAACATAAATCGCCACAATTGGAGTATCTAATAAACATACGTACAGGTCACCATTGTTGCAAAATTCGGAACGTAAGACTAATGGACTCAGAACGTGGGCTCAACGAATATTTCTTCTTAATACATATATTAAAGCAAACATTATACCAGTAGTATGCCAGTTTTCGAAAATAAATTTTCAATATGTCCAAAAATATTTAATTTCAATATTTTCAGTTTTTTTCATTAACCTTAAATAAATCAGGTTTCAAAAATTTTGAATGAATCAAAATTTCTAAATATATGTATATTTTTTTAATTGTCTCTATCACTCTGCAGTCATTTTAACCAAGCAAGAGACAAAGAGAAACACATTGACAGTTCTATGAAACTGCCAATATTTCATTGAAATTTTTTATTTAAATTTTCGATTTCATCATATTTTACCACCATTTTTTAAACAGAAAATGTCACATAGAAAACTGTTTGTATTTGTTGAGTTCGTGAAGTGTATTTTTGTAAGTTAGTAATATGTAATACTTTTTCAATACAGTTTTTTTTTTGTTTTTTTTTTTAATGGTATGATTACCAGTTTGATGAAACCTAAGTGTTAGGTTTTTCTGGATTAAAATTAGATCAGAGATTAATGGCACAAATGGTTAAAAAGAGTAAAATAAAAATGAAATATATGTTGCAGACGTTTTGGCAATTTTGTACCTATATACTCGTATAAACATTTCAATGACACTGTATATCACGCGTCGAGTATATATCACGTGTCAAAATCGTTTCTGATGAGATGAGCACTTGCGCATCGGTTTAACGGCATATTACAAATTACCTCGCCCTGTTGGTCTTTCGGGTAACTATTAAAATTTTGATAATGACGGCGGAGGGCGAACAATGCACAATGAAACGAAGATTATTAGGCTTCACACCGAACGGTCAAAGGTCATCCTGAAGCATTATCGGCAGCTCGGAATTCAGTAATTAGTTCGCAGTGTGATACACGCAGTCGTGCGATAGACGGCCTACCCCTACGCACCGTTCGTCGATAATTACCAGCTTTGTAGCAGTGTTGCCAACTCAAAATGTGTCAAAAGTTCGTAGATCTAATACCTTTATTTTTCAAGTATTTTAGAGATCTTCGAGTAAGAATCCAAGTATCCTGAAATTATTTTTCGATTGTATAAGACATATTTTAATTATTTTCATAAGGGAACCAATGATAAAGCAAAATTATAGACGTCAAAAATTGACGAATGAATCATATGTATATCATATCATAATACAATAATTACTGATTATAAATATTTAATTAATTATCTTTTTGATTTAATTCTTTATCATTTTCCTACAGCGTGAAATATTTTTTATCGTAATGCAGCTTTAATTTTTGGAGGCCAGGGCGTAGCCAGTATTTATGTTTGGGGGGGGTAGGGGGGGAAATGCAGATTAAACAAAAAGCCAAAAAAAAAAGTCAGTAGAGGCAACGGCAACCGCAATCCCAGTATTTTGATTTTTACTTGACCCTGGGGGGGGGACCGCTAGTAGATGAAACAAAAAACAAAAAAAAGTCACTGGAGGCAACGGCAACCGCATTCCCCCGAGTATTTTGGTTTTACTTGACCATATCGGGGGGGGGGCGATCGCCTCAGCACGATGCTACGTTCAGGAATATAAAAATATCAGATTATATTCTTAAAAGTGTGATACCTATTTGTATATATGACCATGATAGTTTATATTGCATCTATGACACGACCTTTATGGCGGCCTTTATGACCTGTATGATTCATAAT